GCACTGAGGCCCGAGACCTTTTCCTTAATCCTTTCCCACACATCCTTCCTCACCCCATCGATCAACCACATTACACTTGGTTCACTGACGGCAGTGCAACATCCAAAGACAACCCCAAGGTGGGTTATGCCACAGTAAGTGAAAAACACACCATTGAGGCAGCTCCCCCGCCCCCTGGCACCACCTCCCAACAGGCGGAACTGGTTGCCCTAACGTGAGCCCTCACTTTAACAAAGGATCTCAGGATTAACATATGCACAGACTCCAACTACACCCACCACATTCTGCACCCCTGCACTGCAATCTAGATAGAAAGGGGACATATGACTACCCAAGGTGGGGTCCATTAAAAACGGCCACCGCATCAGGCAGTTACTCGAAGCGGCCCAACTCCCCAAGGAGGCAGGCATCATCCACCTGCCGAGGTCATCAAACCACAAGTGATCCCATCACCCTTGGCAATCATAAAGCAGATCAGGCAGCCAAACAAGCAGCCCAAACCTCTACCTGCCTCCCCACAGCACCGGCCAAAACATTCATTGTGGCCCCTGCTACCACCCCCAGGTACACCCCCTAGGAGGTACAACAGCTCCAGCAACTAGGGGTCACCCAGCAGGAGGAATGGTACCTCTTTTCAGGACGATATGCCCTCCCCAGTGATCAGGCTGAACAAATACTTCTGGACCTCCACAACACTATGCACCTAGGGGCTGAACCCTTACTGCGCCTTCTCCAACCTGTCTACTACCAACCCCACATGAACAAACACATGACCCACAATTGCCCTTTATGTGCATGCTGCTCTACCCAGGGAGGTCTCCAAGTCCGCTCTTTCCCCACCCATCAGGCCACAGGATATATTCCAGGGCAAGACTGGCAAATAGACTTCACTCATATGCCTCCCCACAAAACGTTAAAGTACCTCCTCACTCTTGTGGACACTTTCTCAGAATGGATGGAGGCCTTTCCCTCATCCATGGAGGACATGGCAGCCGTCACACAAGCCCTCGTTTCAGAAATCATTCCCCGATTTGGCCTTCCAAGTAGTCCACAATCTGACCATGGCCCTGCGTTTCTCTCCCAAATAACCCAACTCACAGCCTGATTCTTAAACATCAAACGGAACCTGCACATTCTCTACAGACCTGTAACTTTACCCTCCAACTGCTGCCCTCCTCTGACTACGTTACCTACAGTGTTTACCTTACTCAACTGCCAAAGTCAACCCTGTACTGCTTTACCTCATTTCCTTCCCTAGGGGCCTTCGCCAACGCCCCCTCACTCCTCAATAAGAACTCAGGATTTTGCATGGGCCAACACATGGGGTGCAAAAACATGCACCCCTGGGTCACTTGTCCCAACCCCTCCACTAGCACGTGCCACCTAATCCCAACCTTCCAAATCCTCTCCGAATGGATCCTAGTAGATACCCCAAATTATGTCCTAGAGTGGGAAAACAAAAAGCAGGGGCCAAGTCAGGTTGCTCCCCACTCCCAGTTCCCTCTCCTAAAGGGAGCTGCAATGGTTGGTACCTCACATATATGGGATACCGCTGACAGCCAAATGACTCCTGTTCTCAGCATCCACCCCCAGTTCTGCCTCAACAGCGAGGAAGTCCTATTCTTCCTATGCGGCACCTCCACTTATCTCTGTCTACCCACCAATTGGACTGGAATCTGTACCTTAGCTCTCATCTCCCCCAAGGTAAATATTGCCCCTGGAAACCAATACATCCCCGTCCCAGTTAGCACCCATGCCAGGCCACAGAGAGCCGTCACCCTCATTCCCGTTAGCTGGCTTGGGAATAGCCACAGGCGTCGGCTCACGGGTAGCAGGCCTAGCAACATCTCTATCCTACTTCTTTTCCCTATCCAAAGAGCTGGCCCACAGCCTGGAGGACACAGCCAAATCACTGGTGACCCTCCAATCCCAAATGGACTCCCTTGCCGCCAAAGTTCTCCAAAATCAAAGAGGCCTTGACCTCCTCACCGCAGCAAAAGGGGGATTATGTGCTTTCCTCGGGGAAGAGTGCTGCTTTTACATCGACCAGGCAGGGCTAGTACAACATACAGCAAACAGGCTCACTGAGAAAGCTTCCAACATCAGAAAACAAATGACAGACTCCTGGGCCTCTCGGTCCTCCCTCTGGAAGGGGGTACCTCGGCTACTTCCCCTCCTAGGCCCCTTCTCAATCCGAATTCTACTCCTCTTGTTCGGCCCAAGTCTTGTCCACTGTCTCTCAAAATTTTTGCAGGAACACATGAAGGCCTTCACCAACCATACAGTCTCCAAGCTTTTCATGATTGGAGGGCATCAACTCTTCAAACCCGGTGGCACCGAAGAGTACCATCCTCCTACAACCACCTCGTCAACCCTGGCCCCGCTCAGCAGGAAGTAGCCAGAACAACTGTTGCCCCCTTGCCACAACCCTCTCGCCCCCTTACCCTATCCCTTTAAAGGTGGGAATGACAGAACTTACTCCATTTTAACCCCAGCTGCCACCTGATAACTACCTCAAGTTCCTCAAAGTTTAGAATGACTCCCTCCCAGGGGACTTTCCACCTCAGATGTCCCCCAACCCCTCCCCTCTCGTGCCACCTAGGATGTTCCCAACCCCTCCCGTCTCATGCAACCCCCTACCCACACTGGTTGCATCAGCCTGCTTGCAGGCCGTAAAACTCTCCCTCGCCAAGCTGCAAGCACTGCGTGCCATTTTTGGGTGCAGCCCGGCAGCTCTCGTTCTGTTCTCAATAAAGCTTGTTCCAGCACCTGGTGTTTTGGCCCTTCCTAATCTCTATCAGAGAGAAAGAGAGCTAAGAAGAAGGTGTCACACACTTTTAAGCCATCATGTCTCAGGAGAACTCACTATCATCAGAACAGCAAGGGAAAAATCTGACCCCATGATCTGATCACCTCCTACCAGGTCCCTCCTCCAATTTGACATGAGATTGGAGACAGGGGGACACAAATCTAAACCATATCATTTGGTACACTGAGACTAGAACTAGCCACATGATCCACCAATTCCACTGTGGAATATGTATCCAAAAGTAAGGAAATCAATACCTCTAAGAGAGATCTGCACTCCCAGGTTCGTCACAGTGCTAATCACAGCAGCCAAAATATGCCAACAACCTAAATGCTCATTTTAGGAATTAATGGATAAAGGAAATGTGGTACAGAGTAAGAATATTGTGCAGCCATAGAAAAGAATAATATCCTGTCATTTGCAGCCACATGGATAGAATGGGAGGTCATTATGTTTAATAAAATAAGCCAAAGCAGAAAGACACATTGTACATGTTCTCACTCATGTGAGTGCAACAAAAGTGGGTCTCCAGAAGATGTAGGGTAGATTGGTGGTTACCAGAGGCTGGGATGAGGGGTAGGAGAAGAGATAAATAGAAGTTGATTGATGGCTGCAAATATACTGTTTGACAGCAGAGGTGAGGCCTAGTGTTAGATAGCTCCATAGGATGACTACTGTTTACAATAATATATTGTATTATTTCAAAAGGGGTAGAAAGAATTATGCTAGCATAAAAAAAGGACATTTTGCTGGCATAAAAAATGACAAATATTTAAGGCAATCAGCATGCCAGGTACACTGACTGATGTGATTTCTACAAATTATAGAAATGTATCAAATTATCACATGTACCCTGAAAAAAAAATTGTATACTCTCAGTCACAATCATAATTACTGAAACCATATTATCTGCTCACCAGACAAATTAGAATTAACCCTTACAAATAGGGATTTTTAAAACATAGGTTGGAAAACCTGAGAAAACAAAGCCCAGACACTGAGTAGCTTACAGAAATAAATCACACACCAAATTAGAAATGTGCTAGGTGAAGGATATTACAAATATAAAAATGTTAAATACAAAATCAAAACTTGTGTAATACAACCAAAACACTATCTGAAAGTTACCCATGGTTTCTACATATTTCTGGTAACAAAATGAGTTAAGTATTTGATCCCAGAAGCTAGATGAAGAATTGAAAAGAACAGTTGAAGAGAATTACAAAAGCAAAATACAACTTAACCTAGAAATAAATGAGCAAAGATTATCTTTTTTTTTCCTTTTTTGAGACAAGGGTCTGATTCTTTCATCCAGGCTGGAGTGCAGTGGTACAATCTCATCTACTACAACCTCTTTCTCCTGGGCTCAGGTGATTCTCCCACTTCAGCCTTCCAAGTAGCTGGGACTACAGGCCTCTGCCACCATGTCCGGCCAATTTTTGTTTTGTTTTGTAGAGACAGGGTTTTGATATGTTGCCCAGGCTGGTCTCGAACTCCTGGGCTCAGGTGATCCGCCTGCCTCAGCCTCCCAGAGTACAGGGATTATGTGCGTGAGCCACTGCACCCAGCCAGGAGTCTATTTTCAACAGACTTCAAGAACATGCAATGAAGAGGTCACACTCTCTTCCATAGTCAGCATTGGGAAAAATGGATATACCCACATGCCACAGAGTAAAATGAGAGGCTCCTCTCACACTGTATTAAAACACACACACACACACACACACACACACACACACACACACACACACACACACACAAATGAATTGAAAACTTAAACATAAGACTTCAAACTGTAGAGCTACTAGAAGAAAGAGCTCTTCAAACTGTAGAGCTACTACACTGACCTGGGCAATGATTTTTTAGAAATGACCCGCAAAGCACAGGCAACAAAAGCAGAAATAGACAAATGAAATTACATCCAACAAAAAAGCTCCTTAAACAGCAGCCAAGGAAACAATCAACAGAGTGGATAGGCCGACAACAGGAATTTTCCCCGAGAGCGGCCCGGGCTCAGTTCAGCTGCTGTCCAGACCCGGATCGGAGACAGTGCAGCCTCCAGACGTTCTCCTGCCGCTCGCCCGCCAGTCCGAGCGCCCCAGCCCTCCCGCGAGGGCTCCCCGGGACGGAAGGATCCACCAGTCTGTCCGTTCTCGTGGTCGCCGTCGCCGTCGTCGTGGTGGTAGTCTCCGCCGTCTCCTGGGCCATGGCCAATTACATCCACGTCCCTCCCGGCTCCCTGGAGGTGCCCAAGCTGAACGTCACTGTCCAGGATCAGGAGGAGCAGCGCTGCCGGGAGGGGGCCCAGAGCCCCCTGCAACACCTGCGGGCTCACTGGGACCCCCAGGAGGTGACCCTGCAGCTCTTCACAGATGGAATCACAAATAAACTTATTGGCGGTTATATGGGTAATACCACGGAGGATGTAGTCCTGGTGAGAATTTATGGCAATAAGACTGAGTTATTAGTTGATCGAGATGAGGAAGTACAGAGTTTTCGAGTGTTACAGGCTCATGGGTGTGCACCACAACTCTACTGTACCTTCAACAATGGACTATGCTATGAGTTTATACAAGGAGAAGCATTGGATCCAAAGCATGTCTGCAACCCAGCCATTTTCAGGCTAATAGCTCGTCAGCTTGCTAAAATCCATGCCATCCATGCACACAATGGCTGGATCCCCAAATCTAATCTATGGCTAAAGATGGGAAAGTATTTCTCTCTCATTCCCACAGGATTTGCAGATGAAGACATTAATAAAAGGTTCCTAAGTGATTTCCCAAGCTCTCAGATTCTTCAGGAAGAGATGACTTGGATGAAGGAGCTTCAAGTCAAGGAGCCCACATCCTGGGCTCACCTGTTGTGCTTTGCCATAATAACCTATTGTGTAAGAATATAATCTGCAGTGAGAAACAAGGTGATGTACAGTTCACTGATTATGAATATTCTGGATACAACTACCTGGCATATGATATTGCAAATCATTTCAATGAATTTGCAGGTGTAAGTGATGTAGACTATAGTCTGTATCCAGATAGAGAACTACAGAGCCAGTGGCTGCGTTCTTACCTTGAAGCCTACAAAGAATTTAAGGGCTTTGGGACTGAAGTTCCTGAAAAGGAGGTGGAAATACTCTTCATTCAAGTCAGTCAGTTTGCATTGGCTTCTTATTTCTTTTGGGGGTTGTGGGCTTTAATTCAAGCCAAATACTCCACTATTGAGTTTGATTTCCTTGGGTATGCAATTGTTCGTTTTAATGAGTACTTTAAAATGAAGCCTGAGGTTACTGCATTAAAAGTGCCTGAGTAAAGAAGAGATTTCATTATTCTCCAGTGGCTGAGCAATGCTTATTAATCTTTTCTTAAGAAATCCTGCTGGGCGCGGTGGCTCAAGCCTGTAATCCCAGTACTTTGGGAGGCCGAGGCGGGTGGATCACAAGGTCAAGAGATCGAGACCATCCCGGTCAACATAGTGAGACCCCCGTCTCTACTAAAAATACAAAAAATTAGCTGGGCATGGTGGCGCGTGCCTGTAATCCCAGCTACTCAGGAGACTGAGGCAGGAGAATTGCCTGAACCCAGGAGGCGGAGGTTGTGGTGAGCCGAGATTGCGCCATTGCACTCCAGCCTGGGTCACAAGTGCGAAATTCCGTCTCAAAAAAAAAAAAAAAAAAAAAAAAAAAAAAAAAAAAAAAAGAGAAGAAATTCCAAAAAGCCAATATTAGTTAATTTTGTTATCTTGCTTTATAAATTATGCCTCTAAACAATCAATCTATTTTTTAAATAGACTGAATGATGTCAAGAAATATACCTACTGCTATCAGTATGTGGTGGATTAGAAATGTGTTAAATCTGCAAAAGGTATAAAGATGACAGTTTAAGCATTTCTTTGATAATTTAACCTATGTTTTATGTGAATTATTTATTATAAACTTAACACAATTCTGTGACTTTTTATCTGTTTCATGTTTGTTAAGTTTAAGCAATGAAAATGTCCCAGATAATTTTTTTAAGTTTAACTTTAATAAGATTAATTTCAGTAAACATTCTAATTGTTCATTGTAACGTTTTTATCTCCTGTGGTTTTTATTATGTTTCCTCTGTACCCGGTTTTTTGAGATTTATAGCATGCAGAGATGTTGAATTTCATCAAATGCTTTTTCTTTTCAGTTGATATGATTATAACACAGTTTTTGTCTGTTGATACGATGTATCACATTGCTTATGTGTTGAATGGCCCTTGCATCCCAGGGATAAATCCCACTTGATCGTGATGAATTATACATTTCTAATGTATTGTAGCATTTGATTTGCTGATATTTTGTTGAGGATTTTTGCATCAGTATTAGAGATACTGGCCTGTAGTTTCCTTTTTTGATGGCTTTGTCTGATTTTGCTATCAGGGTAATAATGGCCTCATAGAATAAGTTTGGAAGTATTCTCTCCTCTGTTTTTCAAAATAGTTTGAGGAAGATTGATACTAGTTATTTAAATGTTTGGTGTGAAGCCAGCAGCAGTGAAGCCATCAGTTCCTGCGCTTTTCTTTACTGGAAGACTTTCTGATGGCTTCAATCTCATTACTTGTTACTGATCTGTTCTGGTCTTGGATGTTTTCATGGTTCAACCTATGTAAGTTGGATGAGTCTAGGAATTGTCAATTTCTGTTATGCTTTCCAGTTTATTGGCATATAATAACCAGTTATGAGCCTTTGAATTTCTGCAGTATCAGTTTTAATGCCTCCTTTTTTTTATCTCTGATTTTAATTATTTGCATCTTCTCTGTTTTTTCTTAACCTGACTAAAAGTTTGTCAATTTTGTTTAACTTTTCAGAAAACCAACTTTTAAAAAAGTTTAATTGATCTTATGATTTTTTTGCTTTAATTTTATTTCTGCTACGATCTTTACTATTTTCTAATTTTGGATTCAGTTTGTTCTTTTCTAGTTCTTTAAGATGTATTGTTTATTTGACGTTTTTCTTCTTTTTTGATGGTAGGCACTTATAGCTACAAATTTCTACCTTTGTACTTCTTTTCATGTATCATAAGTTTTGGTATATTGTGTTTCATTACAGTTTGTTTCAAGAAAATTTTCAATTTCCATCTTAATATCTTCATTGACCCACTAGTCATTCATTCAGGAGCACATTGTTTAACTTGCATGTGATTGTACGGTTTCCAAAATTCCTCTTCTTCTTGATATCTAGTTTTATTCCTTTGTAGTCAGAGAAGATGCTTGATCTTATTTCATTATTTAAAGGTTTTAAGACTTGTTTTGTGACCTAACATATGGCCTGTGCTTGAGAATGGCCCATGTGCTGAGGAAAATAATGTATATTCTGCAGCTCTTGGGTAAAATATTCTGTAAATATGTATTAATTCCATTTAGTCTATTATTTAGATTAAGTTCATCGTTTCTTACTTTTCTGTGTGGAAGAGCTGTTAAATGCTGAAATTGCGTTGAATTGTACAGCTATCGTTGTATTGAGTTCTAGCCAACTATAATAACATTTTCTTTATATATTTGGGTGCTTCAGTGTTGAGTGCATTTATATTTACAATTACTATGTTTTCTCACTAAACTGACCCCTTTATCATTATGTGCTGGCCTTCGTTGTCTCTTCTTATAGTTTTAAAGTTTATTGTGTCTGATGTAAGTATAGTTATTTCTACTCTTTTTTTGGTTTCCGGTTTCCATTGGCAGGGAATATTTTCCTTCCCCTCATTTTCAGACTATCTGTGTCTTCATAGGTGAAGTGTGTTTCTTGTAGGCAACAGATAAATCATTGGTCTTATTTTTTTTTAATCCATTTTGCCACTTATGTCTTTTGATTCTAGAGTTCAGTCCATTTACATTCATTATTATTGTTAAGTAAGGGCTTACTCTTAATATCTTACTTGTTTTTTTGTTAGTTTTGTGGTCTTCTCTCCCTTTTTTTTCCCTTCCTGTCTTCCTTTTAGTGAAAGTGATTTTCTCTAATATGATTTAATATTTTTGCTTTTACTTTTTGTGTATATTTCATATGTTTTTTGATTTCAGGTTACCATGAGGCTTCCAGATACTATTTTATAATTTTATTTTAAGATAATAACAATACTGCTTGCATAAGCTAATAAGCGGAAAGAAGACTAATGAAGCCTGTCCACTTAAACTCTGTCCTCCTGCTTTTTTACCTTTTTTTTACTTTTTCTTTTTCTTTTTAGATTGAGTCTTGCTCTGTCCACCAGGCTGGAATGTAGTGGTGCAGTCTCAGCTCACTGCAACACTGCCTCCCAGGTTCAAGTGATTCTTGTCCCTCATCTTCCCAGTAGTTGGGATTACAGGTGTGCACCCCCACACCCTACTAATTTTTATATTTTTTTGTGGAGATGGGGTTTCACCATGTTGGTCACACTGATTGAACTCCTGACCTCAGGTGCTCTTTCTATCTTGGCCTCCCAAAGGGATGATACCTCTTTCCTTTAACTTTTCGTCAGCTCCTGTAACATTTTCCCCTACTTCTAATTCCGTTGTTATGGCATAACACTATAATGTTTATCTTAAAAGTAATATTTTCCTCAAATGTAACATGATTTTGTACTTTTGGCTTTTTGATACGAATTGCTTTATGTAGCTATGAAACTCCCCACATTGTCATTAGAAGTCATATATCTCCCTGCTCAAGATAGGAGTTTTCCTGTTCACCTTTCTCTATAATACAGCGTTTTCACATGACCCTGGACACATTCTTCCTCTGTCTACTTTAATGCAAGTACCCTTTTTATCAGGTTTGACTTACAAGTTATCTAAATAAACATTCTGTAAAAAGAATAAATTACACTACAGGAGGTATTTCTTTACCTTTTTGATGACTGGCTTAAATATAAAAGATTTTACATTTTATCAGGGTAATTCCTATGTTGTCTTTATTGGTTTTTCTGATTTCTTGAGAAAGCATTAAAAGTGTTAAGGTTTTTATATCAGTGTAACTTTCTATATTGCTTTTGAGGTCTTTTGGTTATCACTGTAGCTAAATGCATAACTATTATAAAATAATAGTTTTATAATAGTTTTAAATGACCTGTGATTCTGTTTTGATCAAGCGTTTTGAACCTTCGATGTCTGCAGTAAGACATTTGGAAAACTGTATGGAAGGCATTATTAAATCATAAATAACATTGGTGTTCTTTGGGTTACATTTATGAATATGTTATTGACACAAATTTTTTGAAAATTACAGAAATTTATAAAAATCTAATGTGATATTGATCATACTTTTAACTATGTTTTCTAAAGTTGTATTTGTATAGATTTATCATTAGTCTAAGTACTCCAAGGATTTCATAACATTTACAGAAGTCTGCTGGTCCTAATTTGATGCTGTCAGTCATAATTCTGGTTATCTTCAAATGCTGCATGTAAGAGAAAAAATTAAATTTCTTGCCAATTGAGAACTCTTATTAGATTTTAATCATGGATATGCTGTTTTTGCTGTCAGAGTTACTCTTTTGAATTCCTCTCTAAAATCAATTGCAATTATCTATAATTCACATTACTTTTCATGAAGAGGATTTTGATAAGTGTTCTTAAATACAAGTCTGATAAACTTGGAGTTTATACGAATGGACTAGAAAAAGCATTCCAGGACCCTATGGTAAAAATTTGTATGAGGATTGCTGACCCAATATTCAGTAGAAAAGAGGAAGCAGTAATAGAAATGAGCTTTTTATTTTAATTGCATTTTAGGTTTTGGGGTACATGTGAAGAACATGTAAGATTGTTGCATAGGTACACATATGGCAGCATGATTTGCTGCCTTCCTCCCCTTCACTTATATCTGGCATTTCTCCCCATGCACTCTCCCCTCAACTCCCCACACCCCACTGTCCCTCCCCTATTTCCCCCCAACAGACCCCAGTGTGTAGTGCTCCCCTCCCTGTGTTCATGTGTTCTCATTGTTCAACACTCGCCTATGAGTGAGAACATGCGGTGTTTGATTTTCTGTTGTTGTGTAAATTTGCTGAGAATGATGGTTTCCAGGTTCATCCATGTCCCTACAAAGAACACAAACTCATCGTTTTTGATGGTTGCATAATATTCCATGGTGTATATGTGCCACATTTTCCCTGTCCAGTCTATTATTGATGGGCATTTGGGTTGGTTCCAGGTCTTTGCTGTTGTAAACACTGCTGCAATGAACATTCATGTGCATGTGTCCTTATAGTAGAACAATTTATACTTCATTGGCTATATACCCAGTAATGGGATTGCTGGGTCAAATGGAATTTCTATTTCTAGGTCCTTGAGGAATCGCCACACTGTCTTCCACAATG